TTTTTTTTTTTTTTTTTTTTTAGTGGAGATGGCATTTCACCATGTTGGCCAGGATGGTCTCGATCTCTTAATCTCATGATCAGCCCGCCTTGGCCTCCCAAAGTGTTGAGATGACAGGCGTGAGCCATCATGCCCGGCCGGCCTGAATGCTTTCTAAGAAAGTGTGTGGCAGGATCCTCATTCTCTCTTCTACTTCTTTTCCTGTTCTTCAGTCTCTGAAAGAAGCAAATCTGTTTCAAACCTTTATTTCCTCAGTTCTTCCATTTTCTTCCTCTTTATTTGCAATCTCTCCTTCCTTTTTCCTCCTCCTTTCCTCTCTATTTTTCCACATCTCACCTCCATCCTGTTGAGCACTGGAAATTGGATCAGTTGTGCTCCCATTGTATTTCATAGGTTTTCCTTTCTTTTTGCTCCCTGAGAAAGGGAAAGCAGATCCCAGGACATTTATTATAGTATTGGCCATATGATCATTTGACAGCTGTTTGTTAAACCTTGTTTTTAGGGCTGGGAAGAGTGAGGAGGCAGGAGTGGCCAATGGACTTAGGCTCAGACATCTTGAGTGTCCACTTCTGGGAGGGCGTCACCATTTCAGCTGGGGCTGAGTCAGAAGGAAGGAGATACAAAACTGCCTTCTTGTGCGGCCTAGTATCTAACTCAAACATGTACTCTGTACCTGAAATTTAAATGAGCAATTTTCAGTTGATTAGTTACTGTTATGGCCATTTGTACTTTGTTAATTTTTTAATGTTTTTGAGGTTTACGGAATCTCATGTGAGTGTATCTTGTTTTCAGACGTGATATCAACTTGCATGTAATTTAAGAAGACAGCCTTGTTACAAGTAGACATTTATTTGTTATATTACAGTAATCCATTTTTATCAAACTGTTTTATCATAGGAAATGACCTCAGTGAGGAGACCAAATAATTTATTTGTGTAGAGGTGACCTTATATTTCTATAATGATGTGTTTCTTACAGAAGTCCAGGAAGAAGCAGCTTGGATGACTCTGGGGAGAGAGATGAAAAATTATCCAAGTCAATCAGTTTTACCAGTGAATCAATTAGTCGGGTTTCAGAAACAGAGTTATTCGATGGAAATTCATCAAAAGGAGTTAGTATATATCCCTTTTAAAATATATCTGATACTGTCATATCCTAATCAGAATACAAGATAAATAAAGATACAGTATACAAAATGTTAAAAATAAGAGATCACGCTCCTACCTTATTTTAGGTAAAAGTTTAAAGTCTGTTAAGTAGCAGAGGTTATGTGGGAAAATATGTGGTTTTGTTCAGAGCTATATAAAAAGCAGAGCTACCGAGCAGTTTTACCTGAGCATCAGTCTGTAGGGGGATTAGTATCATTAAAAGAATAATAAGATGGAGAAATTTGTAAGTAGTAGAATTTTCCCCAGGGAAAGAACTGTGTGTGCTGTAAAGAATCTGTTTTTTTTTTTTTTTCTTTCCTTTCTTTCACAGAAGGGAACAGCGTGGAGAAAGAATCTGTTTTGAAGGGAGAGATGAGCCCCTGAGCAGCATGCTTGAGTAACAGTAGCTGCTTTTTAAGCTTTTTAAGCAGGCAGGTCCGGTTAACTACTAGGCATTATACTCAGTTACTTAGTTTCTTCTTTTATTTTCTCAAGTATCATTGTAAACACATCAGTTTATTTATTTATTTATTTATTTATTTATTTATTTATTTGAGATGAGTCTCGTCTTGGAGAGGCTGGAGTGCAATGGCGTGATCTCGACTTGCTGTAACCTCCACCCCCTGGGTTCAAGTGATTCTCCTGCCTCAGCCTCCCAAGTAGCTGAGATTACAGGCACGCTCCACCACGCCTGGGTAATTTTTTGTATCTTTAGTAGAGACGGGGTTTCATGATGTTGGCCAGGCTGGTCTCAAACCCCTGACCTCATGATCCACCTGCCTTGGCCTCTCAAAGTGCTGGGATTACAGACGTGAGCCACCATGCCTGGCCAACACTTCAGTTTTTTATTCCAATGAGCTTCAATCACTTGCAGTCATTATTTGATTCTCAGTTTGCACCCTCTGCCAATGGGAGCCTCTTCAGGTTGGTTCCTTTGGTCTTTTGAAATGACCAGTATCTTTGAGGATGTCCTTTCTTTCTGGCACAACAATATATTCTAAGCACATTTCGTATGTTTTCTGCCCCAAACCCTTTTCTTAATGAGCCATAGATTTTCTTAGTGAAGAATGGTATTTAGAAACCATATTCTGAGTACTAGGAGTGCTCCTACTGCAGAGCTTTTATTCTGTTGATTGGGGATGCAAGTTTGGGGGCAGAGCTGAATTTCTTTATTTAGAGCAGGGCTTTGGCTTCAAATCATACCTCTGCCACTTGCTAACTGTATAAGTTAATTACTTAACCTTTGCTTTTCTTTTCTCAACTGTAAAGTAAGGATTATACTTTATAAGGTCTTTTTAAATAAGAGTTAAATAAATTAGTATATATGAAAATACAGTCATGCTCTGCATAATGATGTTTTGGTCAAAGATGGACTGCATATGTGGTGTTGGTCCCATAACGTTTTTGTTTGTTTGTTTGTTTGATATGGAATTTCACACTTGTTGCCCAGGCTGGAGTACAGTGGTGCAATGTCAGCTCACTGCAGCCTCTGCCTCCTGGGTTCAAGCGATTCTCCTGGCTCAACCTCCTGAGTAGCTGGGATTACAGGCATCTATCACTATGCCTGGCTAATTTTTTATATTTTTAGTAGAGATGGGGTTTCCCCATGTTGGCCAGGTTGGTCTCGAACTCCTAACCTCAGGTGATCCACCTTCCTAAGCCTCCCAAAGTGCTGGGATTACAAGCGTGAGCCACTGTGCCTGGCCAGTCCCATAACATTTTAAGGGAGCTGAAAAGTTCCCTTGCCTAGTGACGTACCATCATAACATGGTAATGCAATGGGTTGCTCACATGTTTGTGGTGATGCTGGTGTAAACAAACCTGTGCTGCCAGGCCTATAAAGGTATAGCACATACAATTATATAAGTACATAATACTTGATAATAAAATAATAAATCATTATTTTAGAGTGTACTCTTTCTACTTCTATATACAAAAAAAGTTCACTTTGAAACAGCCTCAGGCAGGTCCTTCAGGCGGAATTCTGAAAGAAAATATTGTTATCATAGGAGATGACAGCTCCATGCATGTTACTCTCCCTGAAGACCTTCTAGTGGTACAAAACGTGAAGGTGGAAGACAGTGCTATTCATGATCCTGATCCTGTGTAGGCCTAGGCTAACGTGTGTGTTTGTGTCTTAATTTTTAACAAAAAAGTTTAAAAATAAAAAACTAAGAAAAAATTAAAAATAGAAAAAAGCTTTTAGAATAAGTAAAGAAAGAAAATATTTTTGTACAGCTGTCCAATGTGTTTGTGGTTTAACCTAAGTGTTTTTATAAGAGTCAGAAAGTTTTTAAAAATTTAAAAGTTCATAAAATAAAAATGTTATGGTAAACTAAGCTTAGTTTATTATTGAAAAAACAATTTTTGGCCGGGCGCGGTGGCTCAAGCCTGTAATCCTAGCACTTTGGGAGGCCGAGATGGGCGGATCACGAGGTCAGGAGATCGAGACCATCCTGGCTTGACACGGTGAAACCCCGTTTCTACTGAAAAATACAAAAAAACTAGCCGGGTGAGATGGCGGGCGCCTGTAGTCCCAGCTACTCGGGAGGCTGAGGCAGGAGAATAGCGGGAACCCGGGAGGCGG